GCCAGGCATGAAATTATCATACTAAATATGCTCGCTTACATTATCATCATCACATTTGCTTTTTTTTTTTTTTTTCCCAACTTCAAATACAGATCCATCTTTAAAGCTGCGTTGTCTAATCAGTTAAGTCTAATCAGTCATCAGCCACAGCGAGGACTTAAGGTCCAATCACCCCAACCTCAGAGATACCTCCACCTTCACCTCCTCCCGTACAGGTATGCACTCAGCCTCGTTGTAGCTCTAGGCAGTGCATGTTCTTGTTGTGGGTTGAGCAAATGCATTACTCATTTCACATTCCAAATTCCTACCCTGTGCTGTATTCACAACTCTCCGACCTGTGCTCTTTTCCTTTTCTTTTTTTCTCCTCACCGAATGTATTTCTTCTCTTCGTAATTATTTCATCATTAATTTGTTAATGCGGAGTAAGGCCGTGGGGTTTAAAGCGCTAGGAGGGTGGGGATTGACCTGAGGCTACCTGGTTCTGATTACAAGACGGAGGCTGCTCTTTGTGTCCTTGAGCAAAATGTCGTCCAAGCCTCCTACGCCTCATTTAACATCTACTGTTCTTACACAAATGAGTGATGTATAAACCTGAAGGCTACGCGAGTTGGAATGGAAAAAAATAAAAATTGCTTCAGTTTAACAATGCATAATTTTGTGCATATCTGAATAGACATCCAAACGCTGGTTTAAAAATTCATCCCAACTCTTCGAGAGATTACGCTGGTCAACTTCGTAACCTTTACTTGAACCGAACCCCCCCAGAGTCGTCCTACGTTTTAAAAATTACAATGTCTCAGGGTGGCATCGGAGGCTCCGGCAGGCCGCCTGCAGCCCACACCCACAGAGGAAAACCTCACTACAAACACACTCTCGTATATCACTCCTGCTGAAGTGACCGCAGGTGTGCGCCGGGCACGTATGCTCGTGCACATATGCAAAAAGCCTCTCTGCCCTCACCCGTCTCCACGTCCAGACTGCACCCCTGCTCTGCCTAACCCCACCTTGGAGATTGTGTGCGTGTGAATTCAGCTCTGGATTCGGTCAAACCCATTGCAGCACCACCCCCTCCACTTGGGGCAGCGAGGGAAATGAAGGCTTTAGGAGTTTATTATAAAATCACAAGAGCAGCGGCAGGGGATAGGCCTCCCGGGGCTGCAAAACATCCCTCCTCATCCCTCCGTCCTCATCTTCTTCTCTCAAGCCCTTCAATATATCAAACTTCAGTCCAGTGTACTGTCTGTGACACGCTCCTGTGTCTCATTTCATTTTCTTACCTGCAGCTCTGCTTAGAGAAATGCAGCTTTTTTTTTTAATACAATGCATTCTTGTTGAATAAAGTTAAATATTGATCTGCAATATTCTTGTATGAAAAGTTAATATGGTGAGTCAATTGTGTGGCAATATGAACTCGTTTGACCTCAGACCAACAGTGAATTCATAACTTACCTGAGGTATTAAATTCATTTTTGAACAAAAAGTCCAAAGGGTCATGCAGAAATTAGATGCTACACTGAGTTGCTGTATAACCCAAGTCATCCATGAAGGTTTATATGTTGAATGCAATCTACCCTCACAAAGAATGTTTTGCAAGATTCTGGCTTAGTATTGTCTATTGTGAGGATCTGCAACCTTCACAATCCGAAGAGACACTTCTGCCATCACTCCCGCTATATGAAGCTAACTTTCTCTGAAGTTATGAAGAAAAACTGTTGAAAGTCCAACGAGCCACTTGTGGGCCAGGAGCCGCAGGTTGCAAAACCCAGGTCTATTGCAGTGCAGAGTAATATAAGAATTGCTGCAGCCTTATGAAAGTAATGCTGCAGCAGAAAAGCCTTGGACTCTTTGGAGCTGTTGTTTCTTTTCTGAGGTTATTATTAACAAAGCTTTCAAAGATGCAAACTGCATACAGAAAGAGGCAGTTCAAGAATTGAACCCTGGTTGTTTTTGTTGCGAGACATCAGTGCTAATCAACTGCTCAAACCTTGATTTTAGTATGCAAATAATAACATTACCCAGTGCTGTATTTTTCATAAACATATGTTGACAATAAAACAAAAGCTGATTAACATATGGGGAGAACTATTGTGGACCGTAAAGACTTAAGTTCAAATAAAGTGCATTAGAACATCATAGCTCTATAAATATTTCTTTCCTCCCACTGTAGAACAGATCTTAATAAATCTGTCAATTTTAGTATGCCTTGTCCCTCTTCACAAATGTCTTCTCTGGGTTTTATTTTTCTACCATTTTTCTAAAATCCATGTAGCATTCTCACACCCGGTCAAAATATGTTGCTGTAGGTATACAGTGCATAATACAAAAGAACGTCCTTGAAGGAAATACTGAAAAACGTCATTTATGAAAAGAGAAATGACAAAATTGGTTATAACCAACATAGCTTTAATAAACAGTGCCATTGTGCATCTTGTGATATCACCACAAGTGCTTGTGAAAGCCTGTTTTTGGCAAACTAGATTTGATCTTGATCAAACAAGGATTTGCAAATAAAATGACAAGTTAATTTTTTGGTGGCAAAGAGTCTCTAAAGATAAATGCATAACTTTGAAAAAAAGGGGGGAAAAACGTAACCCTTTTGTTGCACAGATAAATTTAGCAACATCTGATTCTTTGATGGTTTTTTTTGCAATAAAATCAAAGAATTCAAAGTGTCAAGAGTAACAATAAAAAGTATAGTTTGAAAATAAGGAGATCATTTGCAGCAAATCCCTGAAGGCAAAGAATTGTATAACTTTGTTTGTCTGATGACATCAATGTTAAATATTAATTCAGATGGTTCTGTTCAGTTACCAAGTATTTCAAGTAGCCGTTTCACTCCTACTTGAGTAATTTCTCGCATACTTTCACTTGAGCAAAAATAATGTTGAACCTGTGCAACTATTACCTCTGCTTTTTATGTATATCCATAAGGAATATTTGAACTTATTGCACTGCAGTGCAAGAGGTCTCAAGCTGATGTTTTAATAAGGAATAATGCGCATAATCACCACAATTAGAGAGCAACATCAAAAGCGCAAGAGTGTGCTTTAAATACTCCACACAATGGGCCCCTGTGTGCAGATGCACTCATGCAAACGGCTGGAAAGTTATGATTCCCGGGTAATAGGATGTAAACTGTTCATGTCGCGTTTGTGGGGCGGCCCATTGTGTGCGATCTGGGGGTCAAGCAATCCACCGAGTCATCATCCTTGTCATCATCGTCATTAAGATTGTCATCATAGTTGGTGTGTTGGCCAGAGGCAGAACACCTGTATGCATGTCTTCCACTCCCCCCACCCCCCATTCACCCACTAACCCCTTTGCCTTTTACTTTGTGGTTGACGGCGATGAAGAGAGACCACAGCGTTTTCAGATGAAAAGGAGGGCAGGGCGCCATTAGCAGGAAATGGTTTTTGCTCAATAGACGCAGAGCACCAAGCAGCAGGCAGGTGGATTCAGCTCACTTCTTTCCTGCGTGGGGCCTCTAAGGTTTGTGCGCGGCTGGACGCAACCGAACCAGACACAGCAAAACACACGAGCCTTACAAATGTATGTCTTTTTTTTTTATTAATCGTATTTTGTTTTAAATAATAATAATAAAAAAAAGTTTAAAGCAACAAAGTTTCAAAACAAAAACGTAAAAAAAAAAAACAAAAAAAAAAAACAATTACACATAATTCCACATTCAAAGAACCTGCACAGACATCTAAAATATATTTCAACCAAATGCAGAGGGAAAGACATGTATCTACAGAGAAGAAAACTCTGCATAGCTCATAAATCTTACTGATATTTGCCAAAAGTTGAAGTGAGGTAGAAAAATTACAACTCCACATTGTCAGACGCCTGGAGCCCCGATGTGAGTTATATTCATAGCTCATCTGCAGTTCAGAGGCAGTCCAATGAAGCATGAAACGACCCAATAAAAACAGACACTCTGGGGTCCAGCGTGCACTTTCGACCTGCACACATGGACGCTGAGCTGGATGCAAGGCGGGTGGGGAGGAGGGGGGGGGGAGTAAACGTGGTCATTTTCTTTGATTAGCAATTAGGGAAAATACGGAGCGTGACTGATTCACTTCAAAGGCATGCAGAACAAAGATGCGGCTAATTTGGACTCTAAAGAGCAAATATTCTGATTTAATTTTACACTTGAAAGTATAGAAAAATGTATACTTCTGTAAATACCTACAATTAGAAAAAAAAAATAAACAGAACTACCATGATCCCCAAATTAAGTTGGATTTCAAAGAGAGTGGTCAGCTTTTCCAGCAGTGTGCTAATCTCCCTTTGTTCTCAACAGCACATTTCCATAGACATTTCCATAAGAGCAACTGAAAACACAAAGCTTCTTTCTGTACACGATAACCCTGTTAATGCACATAATAAGGTACGTCAGTGGTGCAAGCCACCATAAAGCTTCCAGTGATTCTATCTAGGCATGTGAGACCCCAGCATCAATAATTCATTTGGTATAATATGTAGCAAGAGCAACTTAAGTGCTTTTACTCAGAACAGAACTTTAAAAGTTCCCCACAGCAGTCAGAGACAGGCAGGCGGAGTCGTCTTTAACTCCTTTACAGCCTTTTTGGCAATACTTGATTACAAGATTTAATGCATAAAGCAGCAGTATGCGAGGCACAGAAAGTGGCACAATAAATAGTAAAATATGGGAGGCCGAATACCACATCAATCAGTCAGTGTCAGAGTTCATACTGCTGGTATGATCCAGTCTGGTTCCCATTTTGAGGATCTTGATTCCCTCTTTTGTAGAAAAAGTGAGATTTCAGTGCATCCAGCTAAGGAGAAGTAGAGTAGTCTGGAAACATCATCATCTATTGTCATCATAATCTGATGATTACCAAAGAACCAACAATATTCGTAGTGGCACATTAGTGTTTTTCTCCCAAAATATCATGCAAGTCTTAAGTGATATTTGCAAACACATGCTTTGACGTGACATTCTGCAGTGGAGTGCCCACGAAGGTAAGAGTTTTATCTTTTTTTTTCTTTTTTTTTTTCTCCCCGCTGCTTCAGTCGGATCATCACCTTTATCCAAATGTTTGTTTATGCGTTCTTGCAGGTGTACACCTCCTCTTCCCTCACACATGTCTGGCACTCCACGTGGCAGCACCAGCGCACCTGGCAGTGGCAGGACAGGCTGGTGAGCCGCATGGCCGTGTTGTAGCCGCGTCCACAGCACAGACTCTGACAGCTGGTGTCCTTGGTGCACGACCGGCCCCCCGTGCCCGGCGAGTAGCGGGAGGGCCTGCAGAAGCTGGGGGAGTCCTCCAGGTAGACCAGGTCGGTGTTGCGGGGGCTCTGGCCGTGGCGTCTGGGCCCGGCGAGCTCAGTCTCTCCCGTGGCCGTGTTGGTGACGCTCAACACCCTCACGGCGTTGTCGTATCTATACTTCAGCAGCCGCCCAGTGTCATGGAAAGGGGACAGCTGCTTCCAGCAAGTCCGTACGGCACAGGAGCCGGAGACTCCGTGACATTTGCAGGTTGTCTTCAGCCCACTCTTCACTGCCTGAGATAGGAGGGACACAAAGAGAGAAATGTCAACTCTTTCAGTTTGATTCATTACCTGCGTTCTTATCTGAGGAATCTATCTGGCTGGAGAGACAGTTTCCTGTGGGGTGGGTTAAGGTTTAGCGGAGATGAGGCAGTCGCTTTTCCTTGGTTTAAAAATTTCGACATAATGGATTGAGGGGAGCTGTTTAGCTTGTCGTATTTCATTTGCTCCGCATTTCTCATTCGGACAGCTCTTGAAATTTCTTTCCTCAATGTGTTGAAACTAGCTCTGTCTGTCTCCCTTCTGTCTCGTTCGCCTGAGGCAGAGGTGACAAGAAGAACAGACTGGGGAATCTCTCCGCCCAGTTTCTAGTACATGCATGCTCATGGAAAAAAGAGATGAGAAATTTCTATATAGGAAAAAAAAATAAATAAATAAAAACACCAATAAAGATCAACTGCTTGTAGACAGTGCACCTTGTAAACACAGATTTTAATATATTATGAATAGGAAGGAAAATTACACTGTTTTCTAATAAAAAAATAAAAAAAAACTGAAAAGCTTGGCCAGGATTTGTATACAGTCCGATAAAAGACAATACTTTGTAAAACTTTTCAGTTACAGTTGCAAGCCTTTTGGGTTTTATCTCTGTCTGTGCAACAGCTCCAAACAATTTTGCACATCTAGAGATTGTTTTTTTTTTTTGCTCATCTCTTTTTGTAAAACAGCTCAAACTCAGTCAGAAAACACTGGCAAACATCAAGCTTTAAGTCTTGCCAATTGAACGTAGTTCTACTTTAGCACATTAATGAGTTCTGATTGAATTGTAGTTTGGGTTGCTGCGCTGTAATGGAAGTGCAGTGTTAATTTTTCATGACTCGTAGTGTTTTGCACGAAGCCCAAAAAGTGCAACATCAATCCAATCAGAGCAGAACTCCTTCTTCAACTTGTGTGATGCACCTTACATTGGAGGTGGCAAGCTTTAAATGAGCTTTCCTATGACTTTTTTTTTAACAATAGCTTTCTTCTTTCTAAATTCAAGATTTGTGTAGTGAACACAGTTGATGACTGTCTTTTTAACATATTTTACCACCTGAGCTGTGGATGTTGGCTGCTCCTCCAGAGTTTCCAAGGGCAAATGGCCACTGTTTGGTAATTTTGCATTTGTGCTCAGTTAGCTATATACAGTAAAGCTTGAAATATTGTTCCATAATACTTTAATAAACATTCACATACTTTTTTCACATTAACAGCTTTCTGCAGATGACTAGTTGCTCTGTATTTTAGTTAGGAGTATCAGAGTAATGAGGCAAATAAATGACACACATCTCAGATGTACGGAAGCGCATTGCTATCATGCAGTAAAAAAAATTTTTCGATCGCTATCTCGTTATAACGAGTTACGTATCTCGTTTTAACGAGATAGCGATCGAAAAATTTTTTTTACTGCATGATAGCAATGCGCTTCCGTACAGATGTGCATTTGTAGATTTGACATCTTTTTTTTTTCATTTCACCTTCATGCACCACTTTGTATTGATCGCTCACATCAAAACTGAATTAAAAAAAATGCTCTAAAGCTTGTTGTTGTGACTTAACAGAAGGGGAGGTTTATTCACACTTTTTCAAGGCTCTGTATGGGATTTCTTCACTCAGCTTGATGGTCAGTGATTGGAGTGTGATCAGTCAGGCTGAGAGCTGCCGTTGTGGAGAGGGGACAGAGATAGGTCAAGCTAAAAAAGCCAGAGGGCTCCAGTGGGTTGAAAAGTTCTATCCAGGTCCTCCCTCCCTGCACAGGTATGAATGCCCCCGAGGGGCTTCTAAACACCATTACTGTGAGCTGAGTGGTCTACAGCCTCTTGTGTTTTTTTTTTTTTTTTTTTTTTCGTAAACTCGGCCGCTGGACTCTCTTTGGCGACAACAGTGTAAAACTTTTAGCTCACTTGAGATGAGATAAGATAGAGTTCATCCTGTTTTGCCTTTCGGTTCCTCCGACAGACTTGTCTTTTTAGGTGCGAGCCACAGGAGATGCACCCCGAGGCTCCCTATTTTCAGAGTGGTGGTTATGAACATTAGGTGGATTTATGAAGAGCACAGTGATCCAGTAAGTGGAAAAAAATGCTTGCTCGTATATTAAAAAGAGGCCACGGTTATAATCGCTCTCTCCGACATGAGACCTTTAATTTTCTGTTGGCCCGCACAGCAAGCTTTATCATGCCTGAGAACACCTGGCTCCAATGATCCCACAGCCATGTTGTCTCCTTGCTGCACTGCCTCACCCACCCAGGTCAAAACATGGAAGCAAATGCAAGGGGGAATTGGTGGAGGGGGTGTTTTTTTGTTGTTTTTTTTTGACTGGAAGCTTCAAAACCAAACGGGCGAAGTCTAAAGTTGTCAGCATCAGGTTTAATTGACAGGTGAAATTGCAGCCCAACTTAAAGGAAACAATACATTTACACAAACACATTTTATTTTAAGCACTCACCCGGATGCCGACGTTGATGTTGTGGGCATCGACCTGCGCCCTGAGGTCTTTGCTGACCCTCTTTTGGCCGAGGAACTTTTTGAGGAACTTGGTGCTGTATTTCAGGTTGTCTCCGCAGACCCCCCATTGCCACGCTTCTCTGTGCTGGATCCCGGGGGAGTCGTCACACGTGCACCTCTCCATCCGGCCTGAGCTGCAAGCTTTGGCGAGTGCATGGGTTAGTGCAGCGGAGGACACGGCCAGAAGGAAGGCGGTCTCCTTAAATGCTGGATTCAAAGAAAAGAAAGAAAAAAAAGGCACCAAATGGTTAAATAACTCTGCTGCCAGTGATACATAAAAAACATCTTCAACAGCCGTTTTATGTTTGTGGCAGTAATTGTCAGTGGATCTAATCCAAAAAATGTGTTTTCTTTCCAATAATTAAGCAATTAACCCGGCGTGTTTACAAAAATCTCACTACGTTGTCATGGTTTACAACAACCTCAGGAATCCTGTGCGCTTTCTTGTGTCAAAACTTCTCCTCTGACCTCTTCTTGCGGCTCTGCACTGTTATTTTGCTTCCCCCAAAGTCGTCACCAGTGTATATTTTCATCTAATTAATTGTTATTTTGACTAGGAAGGATTTTCCCAGATGAAAGTGGGTAATCACACCACCCTTTTCCTCTGGGAATGGGCATTTTCCCGAGATAAAAATAACCGCAGGGCTCAAGCACTCTCCACGTCGTTTGCCACATTTCTTGGCGCTCTACTCCCTCATTACCTCTGTGCTGACCTGTTCATGTTCTCCCACACAATGATATCCATATGCATAAAGTCTGGACCGTCCTACAGGATTTTTTTGTGTGCACAGCAGATCTGCAACTCATTTTAAAACGTTATCCAATGCAGTTTAATGTGTAGCTTATTAATTGTTTCAAAAGTCATGCAGAATAGATTTTAAGAAGGAAAATGCAATATAACTGCCAGCGTGAATTGCTTCTTACCTGTGGTCAAAAGTTTAAAGTTCATACAAGGGAAAAGAAAGTCTTAACTTTGCATATCATACAATAAAAACAAAAATGATGCTTGACATTGCACTTCACAAGATTTTATGTAAAATTCTGGTAAAGGAGGCATCATGTGAGGCTTGTGACTACATGCACTGATAAAAACCATCAATTTAGATTTTATTAGAGTAAGCAGACATGCAAGTTTGATTATATGCTTTTGCAATGCTGCAGCCGGTGGTAAGTTTACTCCGTGTTTTTGCACACTTATTCTTGCAGATTACCCTCTGTTTGGAAAAAAAAGTCATCAGCCAGATTTTACACACACACACACACACACACACACACACCCACACACACACACACACACACATATATATATATATATATATATATATATATATATATATATATATATATATATATATATATATATATATATATATATATATATATATATATATATATTAATATCTCACCACTTTAATTTTTACCATGTTTGTTG